TCGTAATGTCTATCGTCGGACCATTTACTTGCTAAATTTCCATAAGTTTCGCCGGTATCGTTAGTGAGAGGCGCCATCGTTAGCACAGTTACAACTTATCAAATTGACAAATGAAGGTAATCTTTCTGACCAATCTTCTGTCCAAACGTTGTGGCATGACTCCTCGCCAACGATTTAGAGCAGAAGATGCCTATGCCCGGGAATCTTCCTCTCCCTAGGCTTTAAAGCCATGACTCGATTATCGTCACTCTCATCCTCACCCATATTGTGTCCCACTCTTTGGAGTCCTATGTCACGCTTATGTCATAACCGTTGGTTTGAAAATACATCACCCCCCCCCTGAATCGCATAAAGTACTGACGATGTCGGCGAAACGTGTGGGAATGTACCAAGTCACCGATCAGATGGTGGACATCATGAATACTATGGAGAAGAAAGCAAGAATAGATACACTGCACAAGGTGAAAACGAGGCAAAATCAACACTATAATGCTAAGGGAGACTGCTACCAAACGGAAGGCCACACCATCCTGGTCTTCATATCTTCACTTTTGAATATTCATTCGCCTGTTCAAAAGGCCTTGATGGGTTGAATTTATTTCTCCGAGACGAAATCACACCACATTTGCTCTCTGTGATAGGGTGAAATTCGTAAGTTATTTAAATCCGGCTATTATATCTGGTACAACGATGTATTCAACCTAAATACAAAGTTTAACAATGAAGGAAACGTATCCTTTCAACTTCGCTTAGTCTAAAACGATGGTATTAGTATGGTGTATGAGTCAAGAAATCATAACAGGATTACTGCAATCTAGTTGAACAAATTGGATCATTAAAATTAGATTTCAATTAAAATCAAAGGCATTAGAGGTATTAATTTCTATTTTAACCGGATTAGTCTGGTGAATATAATTAGAACTGAGTATCACGATAAAAAGCAAAGTTCGAAGGGTTTTTATCATCCTACAGACTTGTTTAGGCTCTAAAAGTTTAAATGACAAATGAAGAGTGAATATTTACCCATGGGTAGAAAAGTTATGAAGTAGAGTTGTTTGAAATAATGTTAACGGGAGTAGACGAAAGTGAACCTAGTTTAGAATAGGCTGTCTGACAAAAAATTAATAGAGAATGGATCATATATGTGTTTATTATAAACAAATAGGGTTGAATGTTAGTTGAAAAAGAGGAACCTCGTTTTGTAACAAGTCAGGCGATCAAAGTACAAGAAATATCACCGAAAATGTGACGAGGGACAGAATTCACTAAGCTCGCATTTTTAAAGACATTTGAACGTGAACACTCACATAGTTCAAGCTTTCTGAGCTCTGATCTTTCATGGCCGAAATCAACAGCACGGATAGGGTCTCGCGTGCGGGCTTCAAGAGGTCGACCGGCTGCAATTAGAGATCAACCCAGTCATCGAGGATGAAGGGTCACGAGGCAGGCCAAAAGAAAGCTATGAACGAAGAACCCGGCAAAAAATACGATAAACAATCAACTACTAGTGGATTTGCCAATGTAATATCGCCAAAAGCTTGCGACAAGCATGCCAATAGAACTTCGCATTCCAAAGTGATGACATTTTAAAGATGTATGAAAAGACCCAGCCTAATAGTCTACATTGATGCCATGGGCTGGAGCACGATCAGTTACCATGAACTGCTGCATGAGCCGAAGCCGCGGCGATGGCAAAACCCAGGCTGATAATGGAAGACGGATAAGCCAATGGAGTTGCTAAGAGAGAATTTAGTTACCTAGAGTGGGTAGGAAAGAATAGAAACCGACATAACCTTGAGAATGACAAATCAGCACGACTCCTCATAACTTGGCTTTTGGTAAATACCTGCAAAATTTCAGGCTTCTTCAAAGCGGATGAAAAGTGAAAAAGGGAAAAATTACTCCAATAAATATTTATTATGAAAGGCTATTGCCAAAACTTGGATAGCCATCAACGATACTGAAGGCAATCCTTCATCATACTGAAAAAGGGATGAGAAAAATGGCACGGGCATTTTATCTGTCTCGCCTGGGTATAAGCATGGCAAGCATAGATATCACCAATTAAACGTGGATCGGAAAATACTGTACAAGATGCAGTCGCTGTAGAAAATAACAACAGGATTTCGGTGAAAACCACAAAACGAGATAAATGTTGGAACGAGACAAGGCGTGAATGGATAAACGTTATCAGTCAACAAAAGCGCATAAAATCGAAAATAAAATGAAAGATATATATATATATTTCACCGTCTATAGGGTTTACATTTGAGGATTATATACTAGAATTGATGCATATAG